TCCTCTTAATTCGTTATCTTAACTAAAAGCCATAAATCTCGGTGTTAAAATGAGTTTTTGCTCTTCCCTCTACCTTTCCTGGGGGTGGAGGGCAGGAAATGTTGTGGGTACCTTGGCGTTCAGCCAGGGTCCAAATCATGACAGCTGCCAATGGTGACCGGTAGTGCACCTGACGTCACCTGGTGCCAAGGTAGTTCCCCGGCGCTGCTGCCCCACCCACACCACCTTTCCATTGGCTGTGCTATGGCACGTTCGCCAGTGGCATTCATGCTCCTCCTCCATCACCGGTCRCCTGGCAGGCGTGGGGCAAGCACGTTGGCCTGGTGGGGCTGACCCCAACCCATCCAAACCCCGATCTGCACTTCTAAGCACTCGCTAGGTCTCTCCCCCGACTCCCCGGATCCAGTCCTCAGCCTTCCTCAGCACTGCAGAGCCGGGGATGAGCCCGAGCCGGGGATGACCACCTCAGCCATCACCAGGACCATCCTCCCATGTGGAGTCCAGTAGCCCATTCCAGAGGCCTTTTTTTCACCCCTCCAGGCCCTCCGTCACCCCACTGCCAYGGCGTCACCCCGTGGTGCCCAGGGCTCAAGGTTGGCCTTGGCTCTCAGCACTGAAGGGCCCCGAGCCGGGGTCTGTGAAGCTGTGACACTCCCCCYGCGGGGGCCRTTCTCTGTATTTCCTCCATCCCCCATGCAGGGGTGAAGGCAGTGCACTGCCCTGCCCATGGATCTGCAGGGAAACCCTTCCGTCACAAGGAGCCCCCTCTTCTGAAGGGTACACTCCACTTCCCCAGCCCACCCTGCCTGGCCCACCATTAAGGTCCAACTCTGCAGACACTGCGTGGGAGATCCCAGGAGCAATTGAGGAACCATAGCATTAGTCCTGGTAATGCTATGTCCCTGAAGTAGGTGAGCAGAGCAACAGCAAGGGAAAAGTCCATYTGATTCCTCACCACTGGAGGCAAGACCAGCAAAAATCTGATCCCAAGTACTTTCATATGTATTTGGCAAGCTTGACTGCAACTTTAGCTTCTTCAAGCAAACTTTGGACACATTGTTTGCACCTTCATAACCCATGTGGGGTAATTTAAACTTAAGTTTCTWGAACATGCTCAACACAAAATCCTCCAGCGCTTCCAAAAGGATGTCCCAGGTGAAGTACTAAGGCCTGAACAACAGGCCCTGAGCCAAAATTTACTTTTAGATGAACCTTCGAACCAAATATTATATTTGTATCCACTCATTANTTCCTCACCACTGGAGGCAAGACCAGCAAAAATCTGATCCCAAGTACTTTCATATGTATTTGGCAAGCTTGACTGCAACTTTAGCTTCTTCAAGCAAACTTTGGACACATTGTTTGCACCTTCATAACCCATGTGGGGTAATTTAAACTTAAGTTTCTWGAACATGCTCAACACAAAATCCTCCAGCGCTTCCAAAAGGATGTCCCAGGTGAAGTACTAAGGCCTGAACAACAGGCCCTGAGCCAAAATTTACTTTTAGATGAACCTTCGAACCAAATATTATATTTGTATCCACTCATTAACAAAAGAGGCATGATCATTAGCTCATTAGTGAAACAAGTATTTACATTTCTGTATTTAGAAGCTGAACAAGGCCATGAAATCAGATATCTGGMTTTCTTTGGAGGTACATAGTCAAAGCCAACTCCYGTGGTTCCTCGTTGAGCCCTGGTCAGGCTTTGGGTGGAGCCCAAGAGAAAGATGAAACCTGATGTTCCCACACTGTAAATGATGTCAGCTTGTCTATTCAGCACTACAAAAGCTGGTCCCTTTCACAGTGAGGTTGGAAGCCTCCCCTGTGGGTGGATGCACCGTGTATGAATTCTCAGTTACCAAGAATGGCTCTCCAGTGCTCTACTGTGACAGGGGCTCCCCAGCTTATGTGCAGATCTGGATGATGGTAAAGTCTGAGGGTAACTGATGATGGATCTTTCTTAATCACTATATGCCATCTTTTGTAGTAATGATGAAGCGTTGCTGAGCTTCTCCTTTTGAGATTCTTTGCAGCTTTGAACYACTGCTCAAMCTACTGTTCAAACTACTGTTCAGCTATTCTTTAAGTTGGTGTCCATGTCTTTTGTGCTGATCCTGCCCACTGGCAAAACATCAGAATGTCACCTCTCCACATTGAAAAAATGCCCCAGGAAAAAGGTAAGACTTTTAAAATAAACGCTCTTTAAAGACTACAGTGCTGCTTTGAGCCTTTTCCTACAGCCCCYACCTCAGTCAAAGCTCAGTGGTAGAGTGCAGCAGCACCTCCACACACAAACCAGRGAAAAAAAAGCACAAGGCCCTTCTGCAGGCACAGTCACTGTGGGAGGGCTGGGACTGTACCCTCCACATCTTTGGAGACTACTCCTTATCCCAGGAGTAGCAGGGATCCTNGAAAAAAAAGCACAAGGCCCTTCTGCAGGCACAGTCACTGTGGGAGGGCTGGGACTGTACCCTCCACATCTTTGGAGACTACTCCTTATCCCAGGAGTAGCAGGGATCCTYACATACTGCATCTCTCCCAGATCAGAAATAGCAATGCTCATTGTGGGATGGTTTTGGCACATAYGGACTGAAGGCCTTTGGATAAAACTAAAATCCTCCTAATCAAAAGCCTTTTTGTGTAAGGGGAAGATGATGAAAACAGAAGTTTTCAGATGGATGATAGCCTTTTCTTTACATTAATTTTATCTTTGTTTCATTTGAGTTATTCTATAGGTGCACTGTTTTAAACAATAGAGAAATTAAAGGCTATTCACTGGAAGCCTAACAAACATGGCTCCTTTGATCTGTATTCTCCCTACTGGAACTATAGAATCTCTCTTCTTCTCGATTATGCCGTCCCTATCCATTCAAGGTCCAAAACAGTTCTACTGTTCAGGTGCCAAGCTATAGTATCCACCCATCATGGAATCTGGTCCTATTGCCACTGAGGTGACAGCAGTGGAAGCAAACCAGGCAGTTACTATCGCYGTTCCAGGGGAATGGCACTGGTGCTGAGCACCTGCTCAGCACTTACGTTTACATGAGTAACGAGTGAGAGCAGGAGGGGGAAGGTAACTGTTCTTCTGTTTATGCTTTAACAGGATACCTGCAACTCATACCCCCTGGAACAAAACATCTGAGTGACCCTGGCTAAGGCAACCAGACAAGATCCCCTTTTCCCTTAGCATTGCTGTGCCTCAGAACCCATTCACAGCACATCTGATCAATATTTCTCTCACTGTTCCTGAGCTGCAACAGTTATGTAATAGCACCTCTGCATCTGCAGCCTGTCAGATTTCCCAAGAATTATTGGGAAGAGAATTATCACCCTCTCAGGAAGTCCCCTGCATTACCCCCACAGGAGTTGTGGATTTTAGGCACATAGAATGCAGATAGTTGAACCATCTTTAAATTGATCAGCACAAGGAATAGCCCCATAGCTTGGTGAGCTAATGCCAAAACACCCTGGTATCAAAATGCTTCCCACTGTCTTGATTCAATGGCAGCACAACAAAGCTTGAGTTTTAGGGCACATACGCAACTCCCACAGGGTATTTTCCTAATCTGTGGAGATGGAGCATGGGCTGGAGTGCCAATGGAAATTAAAGGTGATCCATGTACCTCTGAAAAACGAACCTTCTTTTCTCCAGATGTAACAGTTGCAGTATGGATCCAACAAACTGAACTCAGCACTGTCATAGTCGCAGCATACATGCTTTTACTGCGGCCTGCAGACATACAGCCAAGCTCTGAATGCTGACAAGATAATCACTGCCTCTTTATTAGCTCTTTGGGTTGCAAGTGGCCTTCACAAGCCCAAATAAGCCTGAATAAACTCAGCTGTTGGCTGGCAAAGTTAAGTAATGCTACCAACATAGCAATATCTGACTAGTTAATTTATGTGGACAGCATTAGACATGCTATGCTACGAAATTAAGCAGCAATTGATTTGTTCCTTTTAGCACATGAGCCTAGGTGCAAAGATTTTGAGAGGTTATGTTGTATGAACTTGACCATTTGAGCTCTTCTTTCCCTCCACTGCTTTGCATTGACTTGCTCACTCAGCCCCCAATTTGACTTCCCTACCCATTTGTCCAGGCTCAGCCTTGCCTTTCTTTGTCCTTCTAGGATTCACCTTGCCTTGCCGACTTCTCCCTTGCCTTGCCTTGGCTAGCAAAGCCAGCAGTTGTCTTGTCTTGCCCTCGAAGTCCTGCCTTGCTTTGCATCACCTTGTTTAACCCTCCCCCACCCGGAATTCAAGACCCTTGTCATCATGGCATTTCTTCAACTTGCCTTGCTCTGCCCTGCTCCTCCTAGGACTCTGAAGGCCCTTCACGTACCCCCAGTGTTTCATGACCATGTGAGAGAAGCCTAGAGCACGTCATGTGCAGCCAGACC